TATTTTTATTCACATCACATGTTATACAAAAGCATGCTAGATTGAAATAATCCAAGTGTAATTCATCCGAGAAAAAGGAAATAATAAGCTAACCTAGTAAGCAAAAATATTCGTTATATTTTAGAATTCTAAAAATTTTTTTTTATGAACATTTATCGCAAGGCCTGCCGGGAGAAAGAATTCAAACGACTGCAAACGCGCAGTCGTCTGGTTGCATTATTATTTTATCTTTAACGGAGCGTTTTAAAATTGTAATAGTTAAATTTTTCTAAAAAACATTTCAAGAATGGTGGAAAAGAAACGGAAGGTGTGTTATAAAATATAATTTCAAAAACCATTTAGACTTCGTTTTTCTTTAAGAAAAAAAGAAATATATATTAAAAAAAAAAAAAAAATCTGAAATGTTTCAGATTTTAAATTACGTCCAAAGGGGCGTTTTTTAACATTTTGTGTGTTACCTTTCTTTATTAAATATCATGTTCCTCGCGCTTAAACCATAAGATCCAGTGCAACAGCAATATCGCAAAATAGTTTTAAAACGAGCATATCTTTAGAATTTCCGATACAGAGACTCACGCGCTGGAGATAAAAATGTTTTTTTTTCTGCACAACGTTGCCATTGCTCGCTTTGAAATCCTTGAGTTTGTTAATCAAAAATTCGTCAAAGTTTTAAAAAATAGGAAATCGATCATAAAACAAATTTCAAATTTGGTCTTCCACATGCTCATATTCGTTGGAGGATTACGTTATTCAAAATTCGATGACTCTATGTACCGTTGTTTTATCACAATACGAGAAATATACATACATTTATGCAGATTTTTCATTATTTAATTTCTTCAAATATAATGCAGGACTCTGACATTTTGTGGCAACAGTTTGAAAAGTGAACCGACATTTATGAGTCCGACGCAAAATGCCAAAACGAAACTAATAGTCCTTCGGGATTCAAATCCCTATGGACTAAAAAAAGATAGATTTTGTCCTTTTTTAATCAGTTTATGTTGGTTAAAAAACGTGAATTTCTAGAATAAAAAACAAGAATTTGTAAACCATTTCCAAGCTGCTCCGTATAAGAAAACTAGTTGAATAGCTGGCTGTGGTGCTAAAGAAAGATTGTTCTGCTGGCCTTGTCTGGTGCTCGGTGTTGAGAAAATAAGTGTGTGGACTAAGGATATATATTTTAATTTGAATCATTATCATATCCATCTCAAAATATCAAAAATCTATTTTTCATATCATACAAGTTTAAAACTTTCCGCACACTAACGATAAAGAGTAGATCTCAGCTTAATCAATGGAGGCAAATATAAATAAAGCTTCACAACGAATATTGCAACAAAAGGCAAGTATAGTTTAAAATGACCGGTAGATTGTGTATGCTTCTCAGCAAAAGAAGCGATAAGTCTACAGAAGAAGAGATGAGTCTGCCGCGATGAGTCTACAGACTCAAAAAATATGAGAAACTACATAGAAAGCTAGGATTCATTAAATTCTTGGCTGAATGTAAGAATCAGTTTCCCTTCGATGTGTTTGCAATGATGTTTTATCACTCAAATATACAACTTGAGATTTTATAAAAGAAGCCTTTAATATTGTTTACTGCGAAAAAGAGATCGTGAAATTCCAATATGTGCTTTAGTGCTTGGGTCATAGAGAAATAAATGATTTTGAAGTAGTACGGGAAAATACCAGGGAAAAAGAGACAAAGGAATGGTCAGCAAACAGAATTATGTTGACAGATGTATAATCACGTTACTTTGAGATTTTAGATATCATATTAAATCAAACATCCGAAAGGTTTGGTTCCTTTAGTGAACTTGAATTAATGACTCTACTGAATAAGGCGAAATTTTTATGACCTTTTTTTTACAAAAAAACTAACTTTTATTTTTTATCAGGTTTCTTATAATTCTAACTTCCGAAATACTGCTATATAAAGTGCTGGTCCATGTTGCAGATTTCTTGATTTTGTAAAGCTTAGAAATCAGCTGAAAGCTTTATATTCTTCTGCGGAGTTTAAAAATAAACCTAGGGCTCACATGTAAATACCAGAAATATTCGTAGCATTAATTAAATGAAACTTACGTATTATCTTCACTCATTATATCAGTACCATCTCCAATTGCATCGGCAGTATGATCATTTTCAGCAATGAGAAGAATTAATAATTGTATTAGACCAGAGCAAAGCAGTCACAAGATAAATTGTGACAAGATAAGTCACAAGATAAATTATGTTACAAATACGCTCAGTATATTATCTGTCGAGAAAGAACTTCATCTGAGAGTTAAAGCATGACTCTTATTTTAGGAAGATGTTATAAAGAAATTTACTGTTCATCATAAAAGAGCAGAATTCAGATTAAAATAATTTAAAATTAAGTTAATGTAAGCGAGACTTCTGATTGTACTGCAGGCCTCATGTATACATATATACTGTTTTTTCCACAAAACAAATAATATGTGTATCTTCAGTGTAAATTATTAATATGATTATAATAAATAATGATTTAAATTTATAAAGATTCTTGTTATCTCGCAAGGTGCAAAAAATTTTTTTAGCTGTTATTGCAGCACAATTAAGTATATTTTATTATTTCTGAAACCATGAATTAATCTGATTTCAAGTAATCTACAGCAAAACTTATTTACTGTATTAAGGTCTTTTGCTAATAGTAGTAAGTTAATAATATTTTAGCTAAAAGAACATTTTACAAGTTTCAAAGCATTTTGTGATGTAAATTTGAGTGTAATGATTGCGCAAAGGAAAAAAGTAACTAAATACCCTCCCAATCAATGTTTAAAGGAAAAATACTTCACAAATACAAAATAAAATGGGACTAATGTGTACTGTATTATTGAAAAAACGGTTTTTCAAATTTTGAATGTTATATTAAGATGGAATGTTAAAAATTTATGTTTTATTTTAATTAAATTTATTTTAAATTTTTATTTTATTATTTTTAACTAACGATTGCTTAAACAGAAATCATTATTATCCAGTCCTTCATGATGATGCTAATATACTTTAAAAACATTAACTGTTTTATTTCGATTTTTTTTAATTTTTATTATTCAAAATGTCTTTATATTCCCACAATTTTCAATATTTATTTTTAATTTTAAAGTCATTTTAGATTATAATTTGACTGAATTTGTTCTTAAAATACATGAACTAGCTATAATATTTTTGTTTTTAACCTGACATCTCTGTCAAAACAACGTTAATACGTTCATTATCGTTACGCAAGTAAAATGCGTTACGTAAAAAGCATTAATACGTCCAAAACAGCACTCTTAATACGTTCAGTATGCAGATTTGAATGTCATGGTATACCTACAACTTTGTTTTGCTTATTTATATGACAGTAATTATTTTTTTACGAATGATTGAATGTTCAAATGATGAGTCTTTTTGTAGATATTTATGCGCGGTTTTCGTTCCTTTTGTATATATGAAATGTATTGACTTTTTTGTTTGTTATTTTTTGATTCTCAATATACCTCTTTATATATCTTTCAACAGATTACATGCAGGGTTTGTAGTAGGACTGATTTTGTTCTCGCTAGAACTGGGTGAAAGACTTGGATTTTGGCTACCAACGCACCAGATGCCAGTCGTCGCCAAGCCTTAACGGAGTGTATATCGAGTTTAGAGTGAACCCCTCTCAAAGTGCCTTGTCATCTCCACAATGAATCGTTTGTTAGAGCAGTGTTACGCGGTGAAGTTTTGCATGAAACTGGGTAAAACTGCGAGTGAGACCAATTATATGATCAAGACTGCTTATGGGATTGATGCCATGAGTCGATCAAGTGTTTTTGAGTGGCATAAATTGTTTCGGGAAGGAAGAGAGCAAGCTGAAGATAAGCAACGGTCAGGACGCCCTTCGACGGCAAAAAAGTGACGAAAACTTAGTGAAAGGTGTGGACATCTTTTGAACTCTGAGTTGACCGCGTTTGTCGAGCCATCGCTAGATCATGGAGGCTCCATCGCGACAATGCGCCGAGTCACATCGCCTTTGCTGTCATGGACTTCTTGACCAATGGCATCACCCAGCTTCTCCAAACTTCTTAAAGGGCCGTTCAGACTGGGTTCTATCAGGACCCTTAAGGCTGTTATCACACGTCGGTTTGTTTTGGAAGCACAACTGTTTGGAACAATTTTTCCGATTTGTCACAACAGCCAATCATCACAGATCGCTTTGGGGTTAACGCAGGGGAAACTGGTTCCGCATTACAAACAAGTTGATAGCATTCGAAGCTGATAGCTGATTGGTTGAAAACGAACAACCTGCAATTTTTTTGGAAAGGAAGGAAAAAGTCGCGTGTCTTTCTTTTAAACCAGGCAGAAAAATTGTCCGAAACAGTTGTTCGTGTGAAACAAATGCCGTGTGATATGGGCCTAAAAGGGCCGTTCAGACTGGGCTTCAGATATCACTCTAACTGACTTCTTCCTCTTCCTCCGAGTGAAAACGATCATGAAAGGACGGCACCACGGCTCGGTACAGGCCATTCAAGAGGCCGTAACGAGAGAGCTAAAGAGCATTCTAGTTTCTGCATTCCAGAGAGCCTTCAGTGATTGGCAGAATCGCTTGAAACGCTGTGTTGATGCAGAGGAGGCATGGGGCATATTTTGAAAACTATTAAGTCGATGTGTCAAAACTGTGAATAAAGTTTTTTTAAAAAAATTCAACCCTACTACTTTACGGACAAACCCTGTATATCTTTATCACAGTTTTAAATATTTTTAAAACGAAAGGCGCATGAAATATAAACAGGTAATCTGCTACGATATTAGAAATAAAAATCAAGGAAATTCCAGTGATAAGTTAAATTTTGTATATTCAGCTTCTATAACGCTTGAAACCTAGAAGTCATTTTAAGATTCTAATAAAATCTTCGTGGATCTTTTGTACATTCTTTAATATTTTTCCAGTAGTTGTCAAAACATATGTAAAAACAATCAAAAATTGGTAATAAAGAAGCGTATCGACATTATAATTAAGAAATTATTTTTATTGACTAATGACAAATGATGAAGGTGAACAACAACTTCTACAATTCTTCAATGATCAATGAAGGAGACTTTAGCTTTTAAACCTCTTGTCGTCTTGATTCCGCTGTTCGTTGTGATGATGATCATGAATTGTCGGCCGCTGGATGCCAGATTCATTCCTTGCTTAATGTCTTCTCCGCAGTACCTATGAGTTAAATATTTTAAACATGGAATCAGAGCTTTAGAGTAAAATGGCAAAAACAGTTACATCTAATATTTTTCAATGACATTGGTATATATACAATTTTTTAATGATTTTTAGTTATGAAAAGGTGTTAAGAATGCTCAGAAGATAGATTAAACAGTTAAAAATGGGCAAATTAGTGTGTTTGGTGCAGAAATTCTGATTCGAAGAAGATGCATTACAATGAAAACATATATATACTATTTGTAATCGGAGCCAATTTGTATTCCTTTGGCGAAGGAGGAACATTACTTTGGCAACATCTCTCTCTCTCTGTATCTCTCTGTATAAGATGTTAAAAAAATCAAAGAATGATTTTGATTGTTTAATTTTTTAACGCATATACATGGTATCCGAGACGAAACACATTAATTTGAAATACTTATACTAAACATAATAAATAACCCATACAATTTTTTTAGCTGTGAGATAAAAGAATAGCTGTGGAAATTTGTATTTAAAATGTTCTAGCAGGTTTCTTTGATGATTGTACTTGTAACTCATTTTTATTTCATTTTTACTAAATATGCTAAAAACCGAAAAAACTAAAAAATTTGAAAAAAAAAAAAAAAAAAAAAAACCTGAAAAATGGCAACGAATGCTGAAAAGGACAAACCGTGTGGTAGTGTGCGGAAATGGGGTCTATTATTGCAGTTCCAGACGTTTCCGTGCGGAATATCATAAAAAGCCTCCGATGCTAAGAGAAACATAGCATAGAAACCAACATTTCTAGAGAAAGTAGCTGTTGTTAAAAGGTATGGTGGGTGGATCATCAAGAACATCAGAGGAGACTGTTAATTGCATTTCAGGTTCGTTTTCAAAAAGTTTTAAGAAATTCGTTTGTATGAAGTTACGTGAGCTTGGTGCTACAAAATGTGCTACGCAAGTGCCTAAAGATTCACGCATAGAACTGCAGTTGTTCTATGCATGAATCTTTTCTTTAGGCACTTGCAAGTAAAACTCGGCGATAAACTCAAACCTGCAATGTTTACCGAAGACATTCTTCATCGCTAAAGTATCTCAGATGTCAAAGGATGCCTGGAGAGAAATCAAATATTGATCATATACCATCCGCATCAATCGTGAGCCTCATGTAGAAGTATTGGGATTGAACAAACAAAACTTTTTGTCTCCAATTGTTATATAATCTTATTTATGTATCCAGTGGATGCTCTCTTGTGTCGTATTCTTGAGATTGCCATTTCTTACTTTTGCAATAAAAATGTACTAGAATTATGCGTAACTCAAAAATCTAACCGAAGAACGCCTTAGCCAAACATACTAAAAGATTATTGCTTAAATTTTCATCTCACAAGTATCTGCTCTTAGATGCTTCATACAATAAAGTACTTCACACAACATGCATTTGAAAATTTACCAATACATTTACAGCGTACTATGAGGAACTTTAAACACCACTAACGAAAACTGTATTCGTGATAATAATTTAATATAAATTTATTTTTCAAATATTTCCAGAATTTTAATTGCATAAGAACTCCACCCAGAAATTCCAAAGTATCTCCATGTAAAATTCATTTATGGGGAAAAGCAAACAGTACAACCGGGCTTATCAAACTATATAATAATTTCTTTATTCTGTTTCATAGTTTGTGACTATATTCAGCACAAACGAGATTCTAAAGCTCCTAGCTTGTGCAGTTTTATATCCTTACGTAGCCTATCGAATTAGAAGTTAAGCAAATAAATAAAAAAGGAAACAACTTTAGAAAAAGTATATGTGCTGTTTCAGCAAATATAATTTACATAAACGAAAAATACTAATATATATATAATGTAAATAATAAAAATGTGATTGTATAATTTAATTTAGTAATATCCTCTTAATTCCTCGTTTTAATTTTGGTTATTTCCTCTCTCTATACTAAAAGCAATAATAATTTTTCTGGACTGTGCCATTTCTAGATTAATATGTGTCACATGTCTTGCGTAACGCTGATGATGCAGCTAATTCAGAACTTGAAACTCAAAATTTTGAGAACTGAAACTTTGTAACCTAAACCAAAACACTCTCCTGGTGAGCTTCGATATTGGAAAATTGCGCACTTTGCTTCATCTTCTGTTGTCGCTTGGACGTTATTTTACTCTGCTCTTTTCCTATCGCAATAGTACCAAAAATGTAAATATACTTGAATAGGTGCGATTAGAGTACCAAGTGAATTGGGCCACAAATGTCAATTGAAATAAAAATGAACATTTTAACCTTATTCGCCTGCCAGATTTCCTAGTCATCATGGATTCAACATTTTAGCACTTTACGTAATCAGAATTCGTCCTCTTTACTAAAGATCCACGCTGTACTCAATTAGTATTTTTGAGTTTGCACGTCTTAATGCTTCTATATCAGTAATTCCGAAATAATTTTTATTACACACACACTTAATTACGTATTTATATATATATGTGTGGGTATGTGTGCGTGTAATGAAGCAAGCTTAGCTGCAATGTTCTAGGATAAGCTGATGGCGTAAAACGCTGTAATGTTGATCCATAATGAAGAGGAACTTGGTAGCCAAAGCAGATAAAATATTTATTTTTATTTCAGAAAATATTTGCGGCCACAAACAAATTGCCACCCTACTCGTGCTTTTACAAGAACATTTACATTTTGGAAAACTTTGCGATAAAAAGAGAAGCAGCAAGCAGCACTCTATCTAAGCCGAAGTGCAGAAAGCAAGTGTCTTGCGTTCAGGATGAAATTGTAATTGAAAATGAATTAGTTTCGGCTCTCAACGCAGTTGTTTGGATAATTAATAATGTTGTAACATGATTATTGGTTGTATCATGATTACCAAAAACTCATAAATGCTTTACAAAATATGAAATAGATAATAACACTAACACTAATTCCAAATTCCAAATTTGGGCTTCCAGATGCCCATATTCGGATGGAGACATACGTTATTTCTGTTTTATCACAATGCGAGAAACATACATACATTTATGCACATTCTTCATTATTTAATTTCTTCAGCTATAATACAGGGCGATAATATTTGGTGGCAACAATTTAAAAAGTAATTCGCCGTTTATAGTGAATCAACGAAAAATGCCAAAACGAATTTAATAGCCCTTCTAGGAAATTGCTCCTTTAAGCTAAAAAATAATAAAAAAATCTGGAAATATTCAGGTATTACATTACGTCCAAAGAAGAATTTTGTTAACGTTATGTGTGATCCCTATATTTATTAAATATCACCTTCTTCGCATTTAAACCAATTCAACAGCAATATCGCAAAATAATTTAAAAATGATCCTATCTTTAGAATTTCCGATACACAGTCCCGCGCGCTGGAGATCAAATTTTTTTTTTTTTTTCCGTACAGGTTTGCCATTGCTCGCTTTTAAATCGTTGAGTTTCTTAATCTAAAATTCGTTAAAGTATTGCAAAATATGAAATCGATAATAAAACAATTTCCAAATTATTGCTTCCAGATGCCCATATTCTACGGAGGATTACGTTATTCAAAATTTGATGTCTCTAGGTGCCATTGTTTTATCACAATGTGAGAAACATACATATATGCAGATTCTTCATTATTCAATTTCTTTAAATATAGCACAGGGCAATGATATTTGGTGGCAACAGTTTGAAAATTGAAACGGCCATTTACAGTTTTCAACGCCAAAACGAAATTAATAGCCCTTCTGTGCTAACGCCTTTTGGGCTAATTACTTTTTGATAGATTAAAGTTATTTTTACGTAACTATTTAAAGAAGTTAGGACTTTGTGACATTACATTCGTAAATATTAACCTCTCTGGTACCATTAACTGAACAGCTGATTTACGTGACATGCTTTTCGGTTCTGTATCCACTCAATGTGAGAATATATACAAATCTCTTGTCAGAATATAGCAATTCCAAAAGGAGAATCACGGTTAGGTTATTCGAAATGGTAAAGTGGACAAGAGCTATTTGCATAAGAGAAGGTACGCCTAATTAGAAGACTTTCTAAAGAAACTGATTTGAAGCATTTGTTATTAAATTTGTGTCTGAAACCTTGAAAATATTTACTACATATACTTTTATGATGTTTGCTTATAAAATATAGAAAGTTTTGCTTTTAGCCCCAATAATACATAACGAATATAATTACCTTAAATTTTTGCTTTATGGAAATCAAGTAAATGTTAGATTTATTTGATGTTAAATCAAGTAAATGTTAGATTTAATTTTAAAACTTTGTCATATTTAATTTTAAAACTGTTCTCATGAAATCTTATTTTAAAAATTTTTATGTCTGGACGTATATGGCGATAATCTATATTTAAGTAAACGAAATAGTAAGTAACCTCCTTCGAATTCCTTGCATATGGCAAGCTAACATCCCACTAAAGCAGTCGTACTTTTAGACCGAATCATTCCTTTTGCATGTCATTGTACTTAATGCGTATATCTCGTTTGTTATTCTTCGAGAGCGTATGCATTGAGGAATGATATCTCTTCATAGATAAGAAAGGATGCCAGGAAGAAAAGCCACCGTCTAATTATGTATGCAATTATACCAATGAGAAAAATACGGGCAATGAGATAGTTTGCCAAGAAAAAAAGCAGAAATGTAAATAATCTCGTACATGTTTCCTTCGGCCATATTCCTTGTTCTGATTTCTACTCTCTCCTGTAGGCATCTCCCCCTGTACTTGCTTGACCTCGAGACCAAACGGGGATAGAAACTAAAGTCCATAAAGGTCACCATCACACGTTTTTTCGGAGGAGCCTGAAATTAGTTAACAATAATATGTTTTTATTTATGATACAAATCATTTTAACGTCGTTGGAATTATAAATATTGAGGAAAAATTATTCAAATCTTCACAAAAATCTTTACCGTATAGACCCGAATGATGTGCAATTTTTTTTTCTTACTAAACTTTATTGTAAAAATGTGGGTACGAACATAACGTGGACTGTTCAGAATACACAGTACTCTAAATTTTTGCCTATACAATTAACCGATATTTGTTATTAACAACGTTCGTCCGTGCGGATTTGAAGTGAATAATGACAACACTACTTGATGAAGCGTCAAAACACACTTTATTGGCCAGTATTCTGAAGACAGCTCCAAAATCAAGTTTTACAGTCTTCGAAGATCTACTATAAACACCCTGGAACAGTCAGCGACACAGCCTTCAGTCTATCAGGCTATCACGGTGAAGACAGCTTCACTGCAAAGCACCAGAGTACAGCTTTCGACTCTTTGCTCGGTCGTTCTCGGAACTTCACGTACTCTCGAGACTTTCCATGCTACACCTCGCGATGCACTCGACGATACACTTGAGTACAGCTCCCGACTCCTCGGTTCAGTCGTTGCCGGAGCTCAACACATTCTCTCGACGATGCACTAACCGCGATACACTAAGAGACTATTTCGGTGCACTCGACGACCCACTCGGCACTCGCTGATCGACTGTCAACTCGATCGACTCCGCAAGGACTAACTGACTGCAAGACACTAACTGACTGACTCTCCACATACCAGCAGGGTTTATATAGCATTTGACTTGTGTTGGAGAACATTCTGGGCTAGACCAGTAAGAATTCGTTGCAGATGATTCTCCATTCGTTCATAGCATATCGCCAAATGGGCGATTTCTCGCAAAATGTGGCATGGCAACACTGTCTTTCCTTGCCATTTTATGGCAACCCTAGACCTGCCTTGCAGGGAAGCTGTCTTACCGCGTCTTAACATTTTGTAACGATATATTTGTAACGACATATAATCAAATTTAAATAGAACTTGATATTTCATTCAGAAAAAATCATTCAAAGGCTTAAGGTATTTTATAAAAACTGCAATTAAGTAAAAGAGAAAAATCTGCTCCCGTAAAAGACAACACAGGTTAAAAAAACGTACTTTCTTTTAAATAGTTTTTTTTTTTTTTTTGAATTAAAGAGTTTAGGAAATAAAATGAAGGTAATTGAACGAATAAGCAACAGTACAGTTTAAAGATAATAGATCCTGAAATGATACCTGTATCCACCAGCTGCAAGAATCGTTCGGAAGCTCTCTTTTTGGATACCCTGGTGTTTCAATCTCTGTCTCTTCCGTTACATTACCACCACAAATGGGAGGCTCTATATCAGGAAGAAAATAAAATTCTATTAGTTTTCAAATCCTTCTTGTTAACGTTACAGCTAACCTTTGTTATCCTTTTTTCTTTTTTCTTACTGATCGATTTTGCACTGCTTGCTTTCAGAAGAAATTATTAATAATTGTTGTTTTTTGATGGCAGAGATTTAGGTCCCCTCCCCCAGAAATGAAATGAATACTTCTTAAGTATTTTCTCCCTCCTTTTTGCATGCCTTTATGGTGCACCTGCACGCTCGACACATATTCTGGAGATCCAAAATTCGAATCCCTGCGAGAGCAATGCGGATATCTTCAGTTTCCTTGATTCGAAAAAAATTCTAAAAGTAGTGGCGCCCGAACTGAAAAGTGATTGACGATAGTCTATCACCATCAAGATTTGGTGACGGTGCCCTCAGCCACCAAAAGGAGGTTATATAATTAAAAGGGAGATTATATAATGTATTTTTTTCTTTCATTTGCTTATACCTTCGGGGTGTAACTGGAAGTACGCTCGATGAGTAATCGGTAGGCCCGGAGTTCGAATCCCAGCGAGGGCATTGCGCATTTTTCATGTTCCATGCATCAATATAACCTAATGACTCTATATATTTATTGAGGCTTTATTTCTTGTAATTGAGACCGAGCATATTTTATCAGTAATTGGTAATAAACAACTTATGAGCATTAAAACGTCTAATCTTATTAAAATAAAGAAATGACTTTTATTTTTCAGTCAACTCAATTTTTTTTGTTTTCTGTTTTTTGTTTTTTGTGGGGGGGTCACTCCGCTTCTGACTTTCGATTCTTAATTTTCTTTTTTAATATGTTCTGAAGTATTTAAAGAGAAAATTCTATTTGGAAAATTTAAAGAGAAAATGTTGTTTATATTATTGTATTTGTGTAGCTTTTACAAGCCATCGATACGCGATAAAATGTAAATAAGTTTCGTTTTTTTTCTGCCCAAAATACATTTACAAATAAACAAAATATCAAAGTGCACATCTTGATATTTTGACTACCTTGGAACCTGTAAAATATATATCTATGTTTCTTAAAAGCTGTATTTCCAAAGATAAATCAGTGGATTTAAAGCTTTCAATAAATAAACTTAATTATATTAATTATAATGTATAATATAATGCTAACATTTTTTATCAAATAGCCATGAAGTTTAACCTTTTAGAATAGAAAGATCATATTTTTACGGTTGATATTGTTACGAATTTGGTATTTAAAAAGCTAATTTTAGTTCAATTATAAATTAAACGGTTTTATTTCCCGCGCAGTGCAGCGCGTGACGAATATTAAAAGAAAGCTAAGCCGGAAAATTGAAAATACAAGAGCGCGTGCATTTAAAACAGTAACACAGTTTTTTTTTTAACAACAGTAACACAGTAACACAGTTTTATATTAAATAAATATGTCTTTTTGATTTCGAGAAAGTACCAGAAAATTTAAAAATCTTATAAAAGGAGGAAAACCTCTCAGTTCGTTGCAGTTGCTTAGTTTGTTGTTTAGAAAACTGCTCTTGTTGATTGTAGCGAGTTCGCGGATTAGCTTTCTTTAGCTGTTTTGAATTACATTCTATTGGACATTTGAGTAGTTAAAAGATAACTACTGTGAGATATTGTAATACTGTATGATAATTTGAGAAAATTAAGCATTTTTGTTGTGATAATAATAAATTTTTTGTTCATTTTTCATGGGACTTGTGCATTCATTTCATAGCGAACCCGTACGCACGCAACAATATTATTGAAAGCAGAAGCAACAATCAAACTCGATTTGAATTATATAATATTAGCTATAACCATAACTTCTCTTTTAGAAGTGAATTATTTAACCGATAAGAAAATTTTTATGTTGTTTTAGTTGAAACAGTGCAGAATTTTTGTTATAATGTAATAAAATAATTTTATTAAAATACAGGTTTATAAGTTAATGCATTTTAACTAAATTCTTCCCCTTCGCTGTTTTCTTTATACAAGATGGAGGATTTTTAACTACCCATTTTGAAAGTACTATACTCGCCTCTAGGGAAAATGAAAACTCGAAATATTTTAAACGTTTTTCGTTACATTTGTCCATTTATATTCATGACAGGTAGATTTTACTATTACTTTTTGTGAGTATTTGTTGTAGGTATTTGTGAAATAATACGTCTGCCAAAGCAGCATCTCTTTCAGCAACGCATTGTACAAGATGATTACGGACACGATCAAAGATATCTGGTGTTATATGCTCAGTTTCCCGCTTGATTCCTTTCTTTAGCTCTTTCACATTTTCCACTCCTTATCCTTAAGTGTCTTCAAAGGGAGAAATTGGGATCACCTTAGATCGGTGGATCTGGCGGAAAATTGGGTGTCACGAGATGCAGAATTCTTCTGTGGTCGTCTGTCCAAGCGGTATAGCCATGTCTCCATTTCAAAACATTTCCGAAAAGTATTCGCTGGTGGTCGACCAGCGACCAAATAGTTAAGTTGCTGAACACTGACAGTTTGTTCCATGGTTCCAATTTCCGCGAATGGACTGGATGCATGAGCGATTTTGTGTTTTTCCCATGTGTAACGTGTTTACTAGCCAATTTCTCTTAAAAAGTCTTCCAAAAAGTCATCCCTTCCCTTATGCAGAAAGCCCTTGAGTTCATTGCAAAAATTAAAAAACCAAAATTAAACCGAAAAGTGTTCGTCTGGTAGACTTAGTTAAGGTTTTACAAATATCTGTAGTAAACGCACGCATTTGTAAATTCTACGTGGCATGTATGTAAATAGACAAGTACAGCGAAAAAGATGATATAAAATATTTGGAACTTCGTTGTCTCTAAGGCCGAAAATACTATTTTCAAAAAGGGTAATCAGAATTTCTATACTCTGAATTTTCAGTGTATACGAGCCAGTTTCCCTTAGAAAGTCCTCCACAAAGGCATCCCTCCCCTTAGGCAGATAGCCCTAGTGTGCTTTGCCATAATTAAATACACCAACACCAACTGAATTTTCATCTTTTGTACAGCAAACACAACTCTAAAAATTGCTTAACATAGTTCTGTTTTATGCTTCCTCATTTAGAAACATTTTACATTTAATTTCTTGAAAAAGAAAGAAAAAAGATATCAGTTGTGTTTTAGAGCTCACCGTAATAATTGCGTGAGAAAACTGTCTCACAGTATTGTCCTGTAGAGCCAGGTGGGCAGATGCAGTGGCAGTTCTTACCGTTTTCCCTGTACGGAGAAAGATAACCTCCGTTTTGACATTGCTGCGTATCATTGAATAAGTTGGGACAGAAAGCTGCAATTAAAGGGAAAAAAACTGTGTTACTAAAATATATAAGAAACCAATACAAAAGGCACTGTTCATTCCACATGGAATGTTGAGAATAAAATGTGAACATCTTCAGTGTATTCTGTAGACGGAGATAAGCAAAAAAAGTATTGTGAATATATAGTCAAAAATGCATAACTTACGGTTTGCGAGATGTCATACATCAGTAAAAGCGTATATAAAAGCTTGCTGCTTTCTTGTTGGAAGAAATGCAAAACATGTGAGAAGTCCTCAGTAAAGCTTCTGGAATTCTGGGAAGGTGTCTGGATGTTTAAAATAATTATGTTCGAGGATACTCATTGATAATAAAATGAGAAACCAGTTTCTCTCCGCATTTTCTTATTATTGTCTTCAATATCCTGTAATCCGTTTTTCGTTATATTACTGTGGGATTCTTTTTTCCATTTACCTTTGGCCATAAAATGCAGTTTTGGCGCTTGATTTTATTTTGCAACATTCTGTATACATGTGTAACCGGAAACTTCTCGGTATCAATAATATACATTATTTATGTTACAAGGTATTTTTCCGCTCTTTTCCACATTACTTCGTAGTATAACTGGAAGAATAGTCGACGAGTATTCTGGAGGTCTACTTTATACTTATCTTAATATTCCTCTCGGGAGGTCGACTGAAAGCCATTCCGGCGTTCTGTCTAGGTCAATATCTAGACAGATTCGACTTCGATTTACCTTCGATTCCAAGCGAACAGGGCTTTTCGTGATTGGCGTTTCTGTGATTTTCCCCATGTGTAATGTGGATACATACCAGTTTCCATTACAAAATGAAGGTATCCCTCCTCTTAGAACGACAGCCCTTGCGACGATACAGGGTATTCTGTAGACGGAGCCCTTGCTATCTACCTATAGGTAGATAGCCCTGTATCATTATATCAATTTCTTTTAATATAATGAAATTAACAGAAAGAAAAGTCGCCTAACCGGAATAGTGGTTAACGACGCTGACAGCTATACCGAAGAGCCTGGGTTCAAATTCCGCAGATGACACGGATGTTTGTAAATGTATAGTGTCTGTGCGGCATGACGGCGCTCTAAATATTCGGCTAGCCGCAAGTCTTCTCGACAGATTGGTGGTAGGAAAAGAGGGGTGGGAGACCCTCGGACACGTGCTCTCCTTCAAAATTGGGGGGGGGGGACTGAGCAAAGTCGTATTTTGACCTAGATCACGGTTTCTTAAATTTTTTTCAGTCGCGACTCCTTTTTATCACTGAGATTTTTTTCGTGAGATCCAGGACCCCATAATATTTACAAAAATTTTGTGGCAAACAATAAGTATTGCGTAAATCCGACACACGCGTTGTAAGGATCTTAAGTTTTACTAACGTTTATTTTATTTTAAATCTTTACTATCACTTGTTATTTTCTACTTCCGGCCAGAATTAAAAGCGTTAACTTATTTATGCAAATTTGTCATGCGAACGCCAAGTACTTAAGTTGTGGCTTTTTGCCAAGCAAGAGAGAGGAAGGAGTGATTAGGAGCAGGCCGCTTGCCATTGCAGTTTTAGTCGGTTGCTGGTTGCCTTCAAGGCCAGAGGTTTAATCCTCTTGATAATTTTTAAATAGTGTTAACAGTTCTCTGTACTACATACGGCCTTTCTGTTAATATACGGCCAATCTTCAAGTAGACACTTGTTTATTAATCCAAAGTTAGTTTAGTTAGAATTTAGTTAATATTTTTATATTCTTACGTTCAGACCACAAGTGGTCTCTGTATTCCGAAGTCCGGAAATCATTGTAAAGAGAGAAAAATAAAGGGTTTCGTATACCCTTCCTGTGTATCTTGTCTACTTCCCACATTTATTGAACATAGCTTTAGTAAGCTCCCTGTTCCGAGTCAGGTCATTTAATGTTCCCAAAGCAAGTAAGGAGGAATACTGAACCTGATAGCGTGAGTGAAACTGTCAATTTTTTCACTTGTACTGTAATATACTTTTGCAGTTTTAGGTCACTAACTTTAATCTCTAATTTTGATATAGAGCAACAAGAAAATTTTAAATAAGTAACAGACGAAATGACAGCGTCACGTGCAAAGCAAGGAAAATGAACGTTTATATTATAAAAAGAATGCGTCGAAACGTTTTCGTCTTATCTTTGTCTATTTACAAATACATTGTGTAAAAATATTTCGTAATTGTAAATTTATTAAGATAAGTTAAAGAATATAAAAACTGCTAAAATGTTTGGCGACAAGAGAGTCGCTACCCACAGTTTAAGAAACCCTCACCTAGATGGTGCTTTAAGGCTCTTTCCAACGGCAGGCGCAATCTTGACCCCTTGCGAGATGAATTTCATGGGCTTGCTCTGATATCAGATACCCGACGTGATATTATTGTCGATCGCTTGAGATAAGCCGCCCACCAGCGGCCGAGCGGTAAAGTCGCTGAACACTGGTAGTTCGGTCCGAGGTTCGAATCCCGTGAACGGGCTGGCTGCATGGGCGTTTTCGTGGTTTTCCCCATGTGTAACGTGTATACGAGCCAGTTTCCCTTAGAAAGTCCTCCACGAAGGCATCCCTCCCCTTAGGCAGATAGCCCTCGTGTGCTTTGCCATAATTAAATACACCAACACCTTGAGATAAGCCACAATCAAACTGAAACATAGCAATTGCTTCATTAAAAACGCGGGAATGAAGGCTGAAATGAGCTGCAGCCCCAAATGAGGTGGAGAAAATAGGTGCTGTGCGGCGATGGCGACACGAGTTGCGATCGGAAATGGGGATAGCAATGAACTTGTGATAATTTTAAAGAATATAATTTATACAGTCTACAATAATAAGAGTATAATTCATACAGTTCATTAATAGGAAAACTGCGAAATCTGTGGAACAATGTTATTTTATCCTGATTGAATTACTGCTGGACAAACAGACGGAATGCATAGATTATTACTGGTTTCCAAACTAATAAATGTGAATAAAAGTTGCATTTTATGTTAACGTTTATTCATTGTTTTATACATATTCGCAGATATTCTTAGAATTCTTTGGTGTCATTAATTCATTATTAGTCTTCTGACATGCTCAAAATTTGTGTCCGAAAGCATCATTCATAAAAAAAAATATAAATAAATAAATCTTACCATTGCAGGAGTACATCTTGTTGACTAGTTTTGCATCCCTAAAAGAAATAACTCTCCCTGTCCCTAAGAGGCGTTGGTAATGGGGATTCTTTGTTACGATAGTATTCCTCTCAAACAGCTTGCTGCTGAAGGCCTGAAAAGAATAATAGCTAATACACAGTATGGAAAGGTACAATCTATATTTAATCATAAAAGTTTCAGCATAGCGTCTGTAAATTTTAGAAAATAAAATCATAAAAAAAAATCGGAAGACCTCTGCAAGTGTAATTTTTAACTCGAATCATCTTTTTGAGGTTCTTCAGAAGAGTCGGCTGTTGGATGACGTTTAGTTTCCTCGTTACTTTTCTCTAACTATGAAACTATGCTTATATTTATTCTCTACTTGAAATAAAAGACCGCCATATTTAAGAGACATTTTAGTTCAGGGAGTAGGAAAGAGATGTTGGGAACCAAATTTGTAAACTTTGTGCAATGATTATACTTTTCATTGCAGTAAACAACATGATAGTACTTGTAATTGCTCGTAGAAAATTACATTGCTCTCTGTGATAAGTAAATAACATTCAACAGCTTCATACAATCAAGAAAAATTCTTCTTAAACTTAATAAACATTATTCAAGGTTATTTTCACGAATAAAAGTTAAGATTTGTTAATCACTGCCACTGTTTTCTTGGGTGTCCGCCGATAACATCGCGGCAAAAACATCGGGGACGAAAACGTCGCGGAGAAAACAACGCAAGGCGAAAACGTCGTGCTACAAAAACATCGTGGGAGAAAACATCGCAAAGAGAAAACATCGCAGTTCTAAAACATCGTGGCACAAAACATCGTCGACGAAAATAAAGCGGTTCAAAAACTTCGCAGTTTAAAAACATCGTCGTCGAAAATATCGTGGTACAAAATAAAGTATCTACAAATCATCGCATGACGATAACATCGCAGACATGCTTTTCTCAAATTTTAATAATTATAAATGGCTATTCCCATAATGATTTGGGAGGGCAAGATGTAAAGAAGGATAATTTTTACCTTCACATTTTTTTATTAACTAATAAATTTTTGCTGAAAAAGTAAGAAGGAAACTTAAGCATAGAAAATTAAATGCAACTTATAGATTGTACTTCTCATGAAACATTACCAGTAAAAACTTTATAAAAAATGATTTGCTAATGGTCTTTGTTACTTAACTATGTCAGTTTAAAATTCCATTAAGTGCTATAAGTTGCATTAATTTTCTATGCTTAAGTTTCCTTCTTATTTTCTCAGAAAAAAAAATATTAGTTAATAAAAAATATGAAAGTAAAAATGCCATGCTAAAGCCTGAATAAAGCATGTCTGCGATGTTATAGTCATGCGATAATTTGTAGATACTTTATTTTGTACCACGATATTTTCGACGACGAAGTTTTTGAACCGCTTTATTTTCGACGACGATGATTTGTACCACGATGTTTTAGAACTGCGATGTCTTCTCTTTGCGATGTTTTCTCCCACGATGTTTTGTAGCACGACGTTTTCGCCTTGCGTTGTTTTCTCCGCGACGTTTTCGTCCGCGATGTTTTTGCCGCGATGTTTTCGGCTGTAACCGTTTTCTTGTTAGTGATTGAATGTCCAAAATGTCCATTCGTAAAACTTTGAAGATACGATGCACAGTTTTATATACATTAAAGTATTGATATACTATAAAAAGCATAAAAACTATCTCACAATTCTAAATGTTCCTAAAATATAAAAAAGTAATAAATTGGCTGTGAATACTTTTAATATCTAAGAAGACCTATTGTAATAAAATGTCTATATTTTCGCGTAGAAATATTTTAGTTAGCTTGTAAGGTTTATTTCCCTCCTTACTGAATGCATTCGTGGTGTAATTGGGAAGTAAGTCCGACTAGCAATTAGAAGATCCGGAGTTCGAGTCTCCGCGAGGACATTGCATGTTTTTCACGTTTCCTGCTTCGACAAACTTAAAGACTCTATAAATAGTGCTCGACACCACCGTGGCTGACATTTGGGTCGCGGCCTTCCCAGTCATCTTTTGGGTGGTGAAGAAATAGGCTTTCCTGCCTTTTTACCGCGTGTCTTCGTGGTGAAAGCACGTCCGACTAGTAATCGAATGGTCCGGAGTTCGAGTTCCATAGAGGGCACTGCCCATTTTTCAGTTTAACTGCGTCGACAAGCCTAATAACTGTATAAATTAAAAGCTTTCGAGAGAACATTAAAATTTAGTAAATGCAGTTAAATTATAATTACCATAGGACTGTAATGCATGACTGATGTGTAGTCATATTCCACTCCACGAGGATAATCGAGGCCAGTTGAGAATTGCGACTGTAATCCTGGAGGTATGTTATTCCATAAAATTGTGACATAGCCATCTCTATCCAGGCGAGACTGTTCGTGAAACATGCCAAGAGCATGACCTATCTCGTGGACTACGACAGGAATCTATAAAGAAATAGAAAGGCTTTACATATTTGCTCCATATAGGTATGAGAAAGGCAAAAAAAGACAATTTATGATTGGTGCTGCTGTTTCAAATCATTCCCCTCTGGGGATCGATTGGCGGGGGGCGATTCCGGCTTTCTTAGACACCGGGATTCCTGGTTCTTAGACACACTCGACTTCTGGGGTAAATAACCAGTCTTTATAGTGACTAGAAATATCGTTTATTCGGTGGTAGGTTCAGTCTCGGTAGGGACCGTACTCTGGTACTGTCTGGTCTGTCCAATAGTTGTGTGGACGTTACATGGTTTGATATCGAATGTTGTCCTTGGGGATTTGGTTCCCCTTGGTCAACACTAGGGAGCAGTCATTTTGTTTTTGGTGGATGCTTGCCGTCCCCCATTGACTTGTGTTCTTATTCCCAGATTGTGTGCATCAAAATTGTCCTCCTGGGTTGCCTCCTTGGATCGCCTGTAGGGGTTGGGACATTTTAACATGTAAGAGTTTCTCTAAGCCTAGGTCTGGCAGCAGTGTACTGTTTAAAAAAATTTTTAGAAGCTAACTATAAGAAAAATAGAGATGATCTATAACTGCCAAAAATACTCTAGAGAAGATGATGATTATAGCATTACTAGAAGACAATGGTCAAATCAGCAACATGCAGAATGTCAAGATACGGTCATGGACCAAGACAATATCTGGAGAAGGTTACAGTTCGTTTAGCTATCAGAGTCAACAGTCAATTCCTGTATCGATGTATGAAAAGGCAATTCTAGACGAGACAATCTTTGTTTAAGGATAGATAGCTATTTTCCTCTTTATTAGAAGGTTAGGTTAGATGAATATTTCAAAGCCTATAAGCGCTATCTACCTAAGGGAAAGGATGTTTTCATATAAAACTTTCTAAGAGAAACTGATTAGTGTTCGTGTTACACACGAGGAAAATCACAAATTAACTATAAGCCAACTCGTTCGCCTGGGATCGAACCCAGGTCTACTCCCAGTATTCAGCGATCGTAACCACTCAGCAACTAGTGTGGCCTATTAGAAGGAAAATGCAGTATAAACCATTATGTTTTAAAGAATTATCGCAGTATTATTCTGATTACACGACCAATTAACAAATTGGAAGAACCATAATACAAATCTCGAGAACACATTTAAGTTTTCCTATTTTCCTTACCCGAAAATATATCTGCTTAGGATAACGTTGTTAATTCAAATCTAAGTATTTTAACGTAACTTAAGAAGCAAGCGTGGAAACACTAATTTTATTCACCAGTAAATTTGTTCAATTTTGTCATAAATATGTTGCTGTTACAGAAGAACTTAAACTCATAATATTGTAAAATTTTCTAGACTTGAAAATCATTATTGTGAAAAGCGATTTAGAAATTTTGCTGTAGTATTGAAGTATTTTACAACATTTTAAACTACTATTTATCCGCTACCTCTAGGAAAAGACATAATGCATTTAATGCTTAAAAATGTGTATAAATCCAGAAAGCTGGTTCTCATCAAATATCACTACAAGAGTTTCCTGCTACATGGGAAAATTAAAACTTCCTATATTTTTCAAAGCGTTGGAGCTTTCCTTGATAACCTGTATATGCTTATTTAATATCGTAAATAAACAATTTCATAAACACTGCTCAGTGACCAATTTATAATTGACACACGAATTGGATTCATTTTAACTAATGATTTCCACATATCAGATATTCTTTCAGCAAAATCTGTTCGAAATTTAAAATATTGTCTGTCCAAAACCATGATCCTCTATCCTAATTTTGAAAATGATAGTTTTTGACAATCACTAGATTTTATATAACATATCCATATAAATGTGCTATATCACTTTGTAGTTATTTATCTTTCACATTTGTTTCATTAAAGTAGAAAAGCAGCATATATTTAAGGATTTCGTATTTACGTTTCAAGCTTTGGCGTTAGGTATTAATCATATGAAAGGTTTTTAGTTTCTTTATGCATGTTGCTTTGGTTACTTTATGCTTATCAATTAAAAGAAATCTAAATTAATAAAAACTAACTCTTTCACATCCGGGACCTATTGAAACATCTTGACCTCTAAAAGGCTGGTTTTGCCTTCCGACTAAGGACCAACACCTGAAAGGAGATAAAAAATTTGAAGTAAAAATTTTTATACCAGAATAATTATTTACGTTTTCAAAACATATTAAACTATTTTTGCACTCACCCTTTTGTGTCAGTTCGAAATCTAATATAAGAAAAGTCGAACAGAGTTTCATGAAAACGCAGACATGTCTTATTTTCCCAGTCGTCCATCGCGGATCGAATGCTTTCTCTCGTCTGCTTATTCACAGCTGGAAGAACAAAACAAACCTCACGAGTTGACGGAAAATGATATTCAAAATGAAGTACGATTTTCTTGCTGTTGATATCATGTCATGAGCTTCAAATTAAAATACGAATATCGCACTTTTGAATTCTATATTATACCATTAGGCTATCATTTGTTATTGTTATATATCGGAACAATGATACTGATGTTCAATTAAAGCGATTGATTAATCGATTTATTCTGTATTAATTATAACCACTCATATTAATAATAACCAATTAAAAACATTAAAGTGATTAGTTAGTTCGAAATAATCACATAAATGGTGGTTATTAATAATATGCAACTATAAAAATATAGTTAACATGTTCTATGCCGTAATAATATGCAATTATGAAAGGTAAATGTAATAATTTTTAAACCGTTAAAATTGAGACTCGACATTGCACATGCGTGTGACAGCAAATGTTATTACGTCAGCAGGTTCGACAGTTTAGATTATTTTAGATGTTTGGGACTGCCAGTTTTGGTGCTGCTTTTGTTGTTAACGGCTAATACGTTATAAGGATTTTCTTCCTTCTCTTCGCATGCTTTTGTGGTGTAACTGAAAGCATGCCCGACGCGTAATCGGGAAGTCACGAATTCGAATCCGGGCGAGGGCATTGCGGATTTCTTCAGTTTCCCGATACTGAAAAATTCTAAGACTCTGCATGTGTACCGAACTGAAAAAAAGCGGTGGAGAATAATTCGTCACTATAAGGACTATTGGATCCCCTCATCCCCAGTCGCCCTTTAAATGGAGAGTATATAAGGTATTTTCTGCCTTCTTTCCGCATGGCTTCCTAGTGAAACTGGAAGCACGCTCGACGTGTATTCTGTAGGTTTGGATCTCGAATCCCAGCGATCGCTTTCTTTCTCGTTTTAGCATTGGTATAACCTAATGATTCTACACCATGTTTAATTGTTTTTACATTTGCATTAATTTTACGCTACCCATAAAAATGGGGTATTTAAGAATAATAAGGACATAATTTAACAATCATAAACGTTGTTGTTGTTACTTAACCTAACTCTTCTCTTGGTTAGCTATTAAGCTAGACCAAATCCATGAGTCCAAGAATCATCAATAAATCCAAAACGAAAGCAGGCCTCTTCAATAGGTCCTCTTTTAGAAGTCCCAAACAGTCGAGGATTGGTTCAGGAGTGAAATGATCATCCTACAGAGGGATAAGATATCATTTCCCCAATCAAATTTAAGGCATTTCAGGATTCGACTTAGTAGACTCCTCAAAATAGTCTGCTGAGCTCAGTTACTCTCAAAAGCAATAGCACCTGCCGGATGCTTGCTAAAGTACCAGTCATGTGTCGAAGGATAATGCCAAGAAGAGGAAACAGTAGATTTAACTTTTGCCAAGAAAAGGAAACAGTAGATACAACTTTTGCCAAGAAGAGGAAACAGTAGATTTTGAAGATCTGTCCATTAGGGAATGGACAGATTCAAAAAGATGCAAGTGGTGAGAGTCATTGAAATAACTTCCTTAGAACGGGCATCAACATTTTATTACCACTGAGGCCAATGTATGAAGGGATCCATTTCAGATGTACATTTTGATAAGATGAGAGTTTTTGTAGCAAAACCAAAATAGACAGTGAAATATTATCACCAATACGAGGCCGATTTTGCAGATGCTGTCTAGAACTGCGACTATTGGTCAAAATCCAGGTATCTTTGTAGGCAATGCAAATGCATGCAGCCTTAAGGTTTAATTGCTATAAGATCATAATGAAAAACAGAACAGTGATCATTGTTTCTAGTATTAATATTAAAGCTATTAATAGGTATTCTAATGAAAATTCCACTACCTTAATTCCCATGTTCTTTTTCACTGCCATCGGTGAAAATCTGAAGGGCATTACAAAAAATGCTATTTAAAGTTTCCAGAGCAATCTGCCAAAGATAATCTGGTAAATTCGTTTTTTTTTGTGGTATAAGAGGCTAACCCTTTTCGGCACGCTGCCTTTTAAAGTCGGAGCTTTGATTAAAAAAAGGTAGGCAGTCTAATTAGGCCTAGAGGAGTACACAAGTAAAATTTTGTGAAGATAGCATTTATCGTTTTAATTCTGTGGGTGTGCCCAAAGTGGAACACTGATTGAATAGAGCTTCGAAAACAGTGCTGAAACGAGCATTGTTGTCAATGAACTGACCGATGAGATGCGAAGAAACAAAGAATACAGACTCTCAGTTGTTCTAGATGATCGGTGAGCCCGGTCTGGGCACACCTAGGATTCGCCGTTTGATTTTAGGCAAGATTTCAAGGTAAAAGTTTAAAATTAATATAGAATAAGGAGATTAGCATACAACCAAAAAAATAACAGAGAAATTTCTTTTCAAACAATTCCTTTTATACCCTAAAAAAATCTGGAAGATTTCTTTGAAAAATGAGGGTCTTAAAAAACTAAACATGGCTAAAATATATGAACTGGTTTGTGTTGAGCTGCCATCTACTATAAATAAAGAAGGTTCAGAGTAACCTACAGTAACCTATAAATCCTTTTTCATTCAATTTTTCTGTGCTTACAGAAGGAAATTTTTAGGTGTGTCCAGACTGGACACACTGTATCGCAAAGGGTTAAGTCTGTATGAAAATAGACTACAGAAAGTATTTGATTTTAATCTCTGATTAGAAGCCCAATCATGCAGAAGTATGGAGGTTTGTTTATGAGTACCATAACTGTATAGTTTATTAAAGTATTTTGACAGTTTAGTTTTGCGTCTGAAATTCAACGGTTGTATATCGCATTCGAAGAGGGCCATTTCAGCCGACAGCTGTTGCGTAAACCTGCAGTTAGAAGGGACGCACTCATCTAAACACGCTCAAGTTTGGCCAAATTGATAAGCGAAGCACAGGAGATCTACGAAACATATTCCAAAATGGGTCTTATTCGTGACATATATGTAGATGTGAGAGTAGATGAATCCGCCCCTACTCGGTACTAGGTGTATGCTTAAGGATGTCAAGTCTTTTCCTAGAACTCAAAATCAGATTTTCAACGCGTTTATTACTCATCAACTCCTGATCAAGCAAGTAGCCCAAATATTTAGGATGTTTGATATTTGTGAAAAGTTAGAAAAACTTTGTGAAGAAAAGTTTTGAATAAGTCAAGCGACTGATGAAGAAGAGGAGAGGATGGTTGAATTCTTCAAAGGCAAAGAATGTGGTTTTAAGAGATTTTAACGTTGACGGTTTACTAACTAGTGTTAAGAATAATACGGAAGGTATTGCTTTGATAGAGGAGTTGTAGGAACTGCTAAAAAGCGTGTGATGCAGAGAAACGTTGAAAGCCGCAGTAAAGCATATAAGGTATTTCTCCCACTTCCCTAGCGTGCCTTCGTGGTGTAGTGGTCAGCACGCTGGTCCGGTATTCCAGAGGTCCGTGGTTCGATTCCCGGTGAAGGCGTTTGCTATTTTTCATCTTGCCTGCTTCCAAAACTGTACCTAATGTCTCTACAAGCATTCAAAGCTACGTGTCAGCAATATAAGCGATTGTAACACAAATCGATGAAAACGTAAAATCTCAAAATTCTTTGTCACCTCACATGATTAAATACATTAACAAAAAGAAATGGTTCTTATTATTAAAAGTTAGAAGTGGCCAGTTATTATTAATACTAATAAGATTTATTACGTGAATGGGAATATAGACACCGACTACCAGATAACTAAACAGCATTCTAGAGGATGTCAAGTAAAGTTATACTATCAAGTCATGGACGATAAAGTAAATTTATGCTACCAGGTAAATTCAAAAATAATATTTAAAAAGATTATAAGCCAGTTAAACGTCTTTCTTTTGCTGATAGTTAGAAACGCATAGAGTTTGGAGATGAAACAATTTTTTGCGATAATAACTTATTTTTAGAAGGCCTATCTCTAGGTTAGATATGATAAGCTATCTTAATATTCAAGGATGCGCATAATAATTTCTAAATCAGCTATATTTTAAATTAAATCTACAAATACTGAAATTAATTAAAATCTGCAGCATAATCTAGACTACCTCAAAATTACTCTATATGTTAAAGTAACTGTTCTTATTTTATATATACTTTCTTCATTTTATAGGTCTTTGACTATAGTACCATTGTAGAAGAGGAATTAAATTCAACCATTATTACTATCTCCATCTTATTTATCCATTTTTTATCAGTGGTTATTTACGGAAATACAAATGTGCACCTCATTTTTTGAAAAAAAAACTTAATGGGCTCCATGAATGGGATATCGCAATAACGTATCTCTCATGAACGAAACTTAATAAGAATATTTATAAGAATTGTACTCATTGGTGTAACAACAGGAGATTTCAGAAAACAACATACTTATTGGTACAACAAAAACTGTTTTCAAATTGTTAATAAAGGACAATATATATAACAATGAAGATTCAAAATTTTTAGCGAAAAGCGGAAAAACACAATGCAAATACTTACATGAATGAAAATTGTATGATATCCGTCCACTAGGCCATAGTGATAATATATTTAACAGTCCTTTTCTTTCTTGTAATTCATCTTCAATTTCGTTTTCTTCATCCTCGGGCAACTTGGGTAGTACCATATCTCCTTCAATCAGAGGGTCTCCTTCATCAGTTTCCAAAGGATTATTTTCGGTAAGAATATCCTGAAAAGAAAATGCATAATAAAGGAAGAGTGTTAGAAAATGTTCCTTTCTGATATAATGAATTTAGTCTTTGTCTGCGTCATTCCTTAAACATTTAAATTTCTAATTGTGTTATTCCGAAAAAGGAGCAACGAGGGCTGTCAGCATCAGCTCCATCCCAGATTAGTTCGTTGCCACCTGTCGATGGAATCAAATATTTGATAATTTTCTTCTTATACCACCACCTCAGCAAAGGACTTTCGGAATCCCATGTTGCATAGACGCTGCAGCCGTTTATTTCATTTGCGATTTAAACCTGAACCCATAAACTTCGTATCCACTGTTCTCTGTTCTCTAAGAGTGCCGATAGGGTTGCAGATATAGCACCCTTTCAGATAATATTTCGGGGGAACCTATGGAGTCCCTAGTCCTTAATTTATATCCTTCAATTGCCTGTCACTGTTTGGGGACATAATGAAAAATGTACATACAACTTGCATATTGACCGCCCGGTGGCGCAGTGGCTACCGCGTGGCGCAGCTGCACCGCAGGTCCGGGGTTCGATCGCCAGGCTGGGTAAAGTTGACTCAGCCTTTCATATCTTCAGTGGGTCGATAAAATGAGTACCGAGTTCCTTTGGGTACTAAACACCGGGTAGGTCCTACGACAAGCTGACCACTTGTTCAGAACATATGCTGATGCATTCCGGGACCCAAAGGTCAAGAAAGCAGGTTTCGGGGCACTGCAGGCCATGGCCCACTAGGCCTGTTGCGCCACTTAGTTTACTTATGTATTATCGCAACAACCTTGCCGAAGTTTGGTGAATTTTGCGGAAGAAAAGTGCAATTACTTTTATTGTAAAACATCATGTGCACATTTACCTGTTATCGCAAACACATTGGCGAATTTTACTCAAGAATAAAAACAATTATTTTTATTGTAAAAAAAATTATGTATACATTTACATATTATCGAAACCACCTTGGTGCATTTTGGCGAATTTTACAAAAGAAAAAGAACAATTACTTTTATTGTAAAGAATTAGGTAACATATAACATACAAGTTCTATGTTTTAGCTATATATATTTATTCTGAAAGATAAGCAGCAAACCTAGTTGCAAACGAGCTTTTGTTGTGGTGGAAATTTGCTTTAATAAAGGATTGGAAGTATTGATCCTTTAGCGATTTTGCGGCAAAATAATATATTTCTGGAGAAATTTCACCTCTTCTATTATAGGAATACCTTACAAGCACGAATTTTAAAATCGAGTTCTAGACGAAAAATAATCATAAATTTTCCATAAAAGAAGTTGGAACTTGGAGTACTGCAAAAAGAACGCATACGAAAATGGTTACGTTGAAAACTGAATATTTGTCACACGCAGGGTTGCCTGAATAACTGTAATCCGCAGGATTACCAGAGTTCGATGTATTCTGAGGCATTGCGATTTATACTAAGGTAGTTGGGATAATACTTAAGTACCATTAAAAACTAAAAATGATGACTGCTTCTTGTTTTTGTTCTAAGGTCCGGTGGCGCAGTAGCTAACGCATCGCTCAGCAGTACCACATGTCCAGTGTCCTGCAACAAAGCTGACCACTTGTTCAAGGCATATGCGCGCGCACCAGAGGCCCACGGTCAGGAAAGCAGATATCGGGTCATTGCAGGCCATGGTCCACTCGGGCTGTTGCTCTACTGAGGTTAGATTAGTAATTTTTGTTCTAAAACAAGGATCTAGAATTTAGCAAGCTCATGCCACGTACAACTGAAAACGTTTCTCAATTCCTAAGATATGATGTAGTAAAGTCTCACTCAATAAACTCTTCTTGACATAAAAGTTTATTTATTCGTACTGAACAAAACATTAACCGGTTACATACTTACGTGTTATATACTTACGTGTCTTACTTACGTGTTACATACTTACTTAATTTATATACTAACACTTGAGTGACCGATGAGCTGTAAGAAACAAGAAAGTAAAATGCAGAAGAACATGAAACCGTAACCGGTTAACTGAAGGCAAATTACAATCAAACAAATTATATTTAATATATTATTTCCTGTAAACATGTTACTGAACCTTCACTAGGAAAAAGCGATTTTAAATCTTTAGTTAAAGCTTTTCTTTAAGAAAATAAACCCGTATATTTATTACAGGAAGTCGTATTTTTAAAGTAACGAATGACAATTGAGCATAGAAATGCAAACATTAAGAAAAATATTTAGCTTTAGACATATAGAAGGAACTGAGAATTTCAAATCCATCGTTCCTTTTATGCAGTGAAGCTGTAAATTTAAAGAAATATTTGAATCCCCGAAAAGATGTATACGTATCAAAAAAATATAGAAAGCATTCAAGAACAGGAGTGAATGAATTTTTATTAGCTCAAAAGAGCGTGATCTCAGAAGGGTTATTAGTCTCGAAACAAGAATTGCGTTGAATCACTGTAAAAGGCTGAATCACTTTTCAAGTTGTTGACACCAAATATTATTGCCCTGTATTATTTTAATAGAAACTAAATAGGGAGAATGTCGATGAATGTAGGTATATTTCTCGTACTGTGAAAAAACGGTGTTATCTATTTCACATTGTGTAAAACTTTAGCGAATTTTCAAGTAACCAACTCAACAATTTCAAATAGAGCACTGACAACACTGTTACTACTACTATTAATAATAAAACATTTTGTCGCCAGCGCGCGAGACTGTCTTTCGGAAATTCTAAAGATATGCTGTTTTTAAATAATTTGTGATGTTGTTGTTGAATCGAATTTTATGTGGTTTAAGTACGAAGAACAAGATATTTAATAAATAAAGATAACACACAAAATGAAAAAAAATTAAAAAAGTCCCTTTTGGCGTAATATAAAATCTCAAAGCGTTCAGATTTTTATTTTTAGCCCAAAGGATGTTCGACAAGAAGGGCTAATAATTTCGTTTTGGCATTTTACGTTGATTAACTTTAAACGTTGTACTTTTCAAATTGTTGCCATTAAATAGTAGAGCGTGGCATTATATTTAAAAAAATTAAATAATAAAAGATCTGCATGAATGTATGTATGTTTCTCGTCCTGTGAACAAACAGCGGTATCTAAAGACATCAAATTTTGAATAATTGTCCTGCACTTGAATATGGGCATCTGGAAGCCCGAATTTGGAATTTGTTACATTATCTATTTCATATTTTGTAAAACTTTAGCAAATTTTTGATCAACAAACTCAACGATTTCAAAGAAGGCAATGGCAACACTGTACGAAAAAAAATTATCTCCAGCGCGCAAGACTGTGTATCGGAAATTCTAAAGATATGCTTTTTTTAAGAAGAATTCGCGAAGAATATGGTATTTAAAAATAAATATAACACATAAAACGTTAAAAAACCTTTTGGGCGTAATATAAAATCTGGAAGCTTTCAGATTGTTTTATTGTTATTATTATTATTCCCATCTTTCCATGTACTACCGTTTCTGAAAAAAAATTGTAACTCTGAAACTGATAATTTTAATAATCCATTTTATAGACCTCAGAAGAAACTAGTGTCTGTTTATCTGCATACAGAGTGTTTTTAATGAAGCAATGTCAAATAAAAACGTTTTTTTACAAATGAATCAGAATTCCGAAAAATTGACACGACCATCTTGCTGTATTCTTAAGATTTCTGGCACTTCTGAGGTATTTCATAAGAAAATATATTTACGGGAAAACAGCAACGAAACCAACAAATACATGAAAGTCGATACTCCAAGATTTGCTTGAGTATCCAGGCTAAAATGCTGACAAAGAAGTGTATAGAAATAAATATCTGTGTGAAAGTTTGAATTAAAAATGATACAGCTAAGCTGGTATGATATAAATAATATGGCGTCTGCATTTTAAGTTAAAGATAACCAAATAATACGCGTTTGGACGCACGTGACTGAGTATCACTCATCAAATGTTGCTCACGTAGGTTTCTGTAGGACAAAAATCATAAATAAAAAAAAAATATAAATAACAGTGCAATTACCTACCATGTCGGATAGAGGCAATTCATCGTCTAAACTATCAATGGGTTGCAACCAGACGCCGCCAACAGATTTTCCGAGAATCCACAAGGCCAATATCCACGCAGCGTCCATATTCTTTCTGCATCTGCCTAAAAAAAGGGACTAAGTAATTATTTAAGTCCCAAATCTCTTAAACAAGTGACGTCATAAAGCCCTCATAATGCAAAATTCAAGGTTCTTATCAGGACTTCGAACCATTAAGGAGATAACAGGGTGGTTTATATCGACAGTAATTGGGCTATGGGAAGATGATACACGAAGGAAGAGGTGGTCGGCTTTTATGTCTTTGCTGTCAGTGCACTGTTCGCGCAATTTATCAAAGTCAGAATTTACCTTTCCTTAAGGCTTCCGATTTTTGACAGCATGAGGGAAAACAACGAAAAGCTAGGACGGAAATGTGTGCAATGCAATGTGTTTTATGTGCTAGTTCTGCTTTTTTGAAATTATGTATATTTATACATCCATAGATCCAGTTTCTCTCTTAAACTCGATTTTTTTAAGCTTTTATCTGTGCCAAAAAAAAAAAAAAAAAAAAATAATATTACTGAAAAGAAAAAAAAGGTCTGTTGTGTACACCACATGACTTCCTACGGAACATAAAATTATAATCATTTTCCCCTGCATTTCATTTAAACTTATTTCCTCGAATTTCCGAAACTTATTTCATCGAGATATATTTTCCATTCAATAAATTCAGTTCTCACTTCGCGACAAGGCAAAAATACATAAAATCTCAGAATATCTTTATTAAAAATTGAAAATCTAGAAAAATATAAAACACCAAATACAATTAAAACAAATCAAAAAACAATTTTTGCAATTAAAATTAGAGTTTTTACGCAAAAGCAAGCAGTTCGGCCAGAGGGTTTTTGGTGCACAAAACTGAAAGTTTCATTTAGGTTCCACTCGGCAAAAACACTGAAGGTGCAGCAACTGAACGTAATTCATTATTCTGCTAAGTTTCAAATGTAAACAAATATGGTTGCTATGGTAAAAAATTAGGTTTAGCCGCACTTAAACAACTTTCAAATTGTTGATAGTTCTACAACTATTGCATGCAGATTTATACTAAAGGTATAAAAACCTTAACCAGAAGATAAGAACAGTATAATTCAATAATTTTTAAAGGAAAAAATGCGCTATTTACCAACATGTAAGAATAAAAAGAACTGAGCTCATGGAGCCGAGTAACAGAGTGGTATATATATATATATATATATATATATACATATATATATTTAAAACTGCTGCCGATTGCAACCAAAAAGGGCGGTGCACATCTACATATTATAGTAGTCCTCTATAAAAAATTTCAACATTCTGTAACTACTCGTTTTTGAGCTATGCGAGATACATACATACGTACGCATTTATTCTGTCCTTACATACAGATATCACGCAAAAACATCCTTAATTGCAGTCAATAGTGATAAAAATAGATTCATTGAAATATGGTACCCGAAAATTTCCACGATTACAATATTTCCTATACTTCGTACAAGGAAGTAAAAAAAAATGAATATTTTCCCCTTTTCATTTATTGAAGGATTTCATGTGAACATGCACAAAGAAGTATTACATATGAGAAGATTGCTACACGTAAACAAGAATATTAAACCTATATGGAGATTCAAGACATTTTATTGGTGCAGTATTCATTTCCTACCCCCTATTTTTTAAGATTTCGTACACGCTTTTCAAGTTAATATTTATATTTAGGGAACAAATTAGTTCCACATTATACTTTCTCCAACATTTACTATAAATGGTTTCTCAATATTAGTTATTCTTTTTTTTCGAATAAGTTTTCTTAAAATATTATTCGTTCATTATTGAAGAAATCAAAGCATACATCACTATGTAATAATGATAATTAATTTACTACAATTTGTAATACGTGGCACTTTCATAAAATTTGTAAGCGATTATTTCCCGTGTATTATTTGCTACCTAAAAATGAAACAAAAATATAAATCAAGCTGCAGCATTACAATAAACCTTTTTATCCTTGTTAACGGATATTCATTCAAATACCTCAAATTAAATTCTTAAATAATTCTACACCAAGACTGATGTCTATTGCAACATCGCATTCAGTCTTGCTTTCAATTTAAAAATTCTACACCAAGACTGGTGTGTATTGCAATATCATATTTATTTACCACGTATGAACAGAGATTATCCTCTTTGATAAAATAATTAACAGTCTATAAGTATAACGTTACAAATCATGTGAATAGTAATTGCCTTTACTAATTTTCTTTAGAAAAATCCTGAACCAATTGTAACTATATATTCAGAAGTGTGCTGAATATAAGAAACTTCTGTATGATTATATAAACTATGGTTACCTTTTCTATAATTGAATGTATATTTAAAGTAATTCTTAAAAGTTATAGTTTGTAGTCTGTATATGATAAAAGTTATTCAGCTTTCTTTTTTCGAGTTCGCGTTGTGTAACTGTACAATGAAGCGAGATTTGTAGATATAAAGAGTATATATGAACACCGAATGTGGCACTTAAAAAATAGTTTTTGCAGTCTAAAAGTGCCAAGTTATATGAGCTTAAAATTTAATTTATTTAATGTAAATAGTTTGCATATACGAAGTACAAACTTCTGTTTTCGGAAAAAATACGAGAAATGTATCAAATCATATCAGTCAATCAATCTAGCTGGTTAACCCTTTGTGGCACAGTGTGTCCGGTCTGGACACACCTAAAAATTTCCTTCTGTAAGCACAGAAAAATTGAATGAAAAAGGATTTATAGGTTACTGTAGGTTACTCTGAACCTTCTTTATTTATAGTAGATGGCAGCTCAACACAAACCAGTCCATATATTTTAGCCATGTTTAGTTTTTTAAGACCCTCATTTTTCAAAGAAATCTTCCAGAATTTTTTTAGGGTATAAAAGGAATTGTTTGAAAAGAAATTTCTATGTTATTTTTTGGGATGTATACTAATATCCTTATTCTATATTAGTTTTAAATTTGTACTTTGAAATCTTGCCTAAAATCAAACGGCTAACCCTAGGTGTGCCCAGACCGGGCTCACCGATCATCTAATACAACTGAGAGTCTGTATTCTTTATTTCTCCGCATCTCATCGGTCAGGTGATTGACAACAATGCTCGTTTCAGCACTCTTTTCGAAGCTCTATGCAATCAGTGTGCCACTTTGGGACACCCACAGAATTAAAACGATAAATGCTATGTTCACAAAATTTTTCTTGTGTACTCTTCTAGGCCTAATTAGACTGCCTACGTTTTTTTTTTTTTTTTTTTTTTTTTTTTTTTAGTCCAAAGGGATTTCAGTCCCGAAGGACTATTGCTTTCGTTTTGGCATTTTGCGTCGGACTCATAAACGTCGGTTCACTTTTCAAACTGTTGCCACAAAATGTTAGAGTCCTGCATTATATTTGAAGAAATTAAATAATGAAAAATCTTCATAAATGATTGTCTATTTCTGGCATTGTGATAAAACAATGGTACATAGAGCCATCGAATTTTGAATGACGAAATCCTACTGCGAATATGGGCATCTGAAATCCCAAATTTGGAATTTGTTTTATTATAGATTTTATATTTTGTAAAACTTTAACGAATTTTTGATTTACAAACTCAATGCTTTAAAAGCGAGAAATGGCAACGTTATATAGAAAAAAAAATACTTTTATCTCCAGCTCGCGAGACTGTGTATATCGGAAATTCTAAAGATATGCTTAATTTAACATTATTTTGCGATATTGCTCTTGAACTGAATTTTATGGTTTAAGTGCAAAGAACATGATATTTAATAAATAAAGGTAACACTGAAAACGTTAAAAAAAGCCCCTTTGGACGTAATTTAAAATCTGAAAAATTTCAGATTTTTTTTTTTTTTTTTTTTTTTTTTTTTTTTTAAATCAAAACTCCGACTTTAAAAGGTAGCGTGCCGGAAAGGGTTAAGATGCCTTTAAGTTTGACTGGAGGGGTATAACGGCGGAAATATTATGAAAATACCCAAATTTTTCTATGGAAATCCAGATTTAAGAAATATTTTAATGGTTTAAAAGCTGTTTCCTAGCATGTGAAGTCTTCAAACGTTTATGATATATTGTAATACTTCATAATTTTTATAAATCTGTTAGGTTGTAGAGGTTACTTTAAGTTTCTAATAAGTTATTTTAAATTTAAACATTCTCGTTTCCCAACTACTGTTTCCTATCAGAATGAGATTTTAGTATCGCGTTTTATGAGTTGAATGGAATATTTGAGGAAGGCTCAGCTTACTTCAATTAGAGAGAGCTTATTAGTCTTTAGTGGCGCGTGTTTGCTGTCAGGCTACTTCGTTCTTAAATCTACTACACTCAACCGATTGTACATGTTTGCTGATAATCGCCGACTAGGTGAATTTAAGGGCCAACTATGTTAGGTATTTGTGTTTAGCTCAGTCTGTTTAGTTTAGTATTAGATTGATTTCTTATTTCCTTACCTTGATTTAAATGCTCGAGTGGAGGCTATCCTGTAAGCCCAAGAAGGGGCCATTTTCGATACTCGAAAATGAGCATTAAGTCGCTACCCAGTTCACTAGGTTTCCCTATGCTCAGAATAGGCAAAGTACCGAGGAACATTGTAAGGGAGAAGATGAGAAATACTTGATTTCTTCTCGAAAGTTTTAGTGTCATATCATTTTAGTAGTTTCTTGAAAGTTTTAGTTTGTTAAAGCAAATATCTGAAATAAAACGCGTGAATAATATGATGAAATGGTATAATAATATGAAACGGTATAAATTCTTCTAAAGTTCCTTAAACAATATGAAATGGTATACATTCTTTAAAGAAGATTAGAATATTTTCTACAGGATATTGAAATGTTGTGTAAAAACGATGAAACAACCGTAAAAAATCATATATGGAGTTCAGTATATTTTCGCTCTCGTTTGTGAAATTCACTTCCTAAATTGGGAAATAGCAATGTTTGTTCTCTTATTATTTTCAATATTTCTGATTTTATAAATTAAGAAATTAAATAAATGCACTAAATTTCAATGAAACGTCAAGCATTTTATTAATTGATTAAATTAATATGAAATAATTTAAACGA